AGAGCGATGATAGTGAGAATGTTAAGATGGATGCATAGAAAAATTAAGATGGATAAATTCAAATATTATTATATTAGAATGGTTGGATCAATCTTTATTGAAGAAAAGACAGTTGAAAATAGATTAAGTGGTTTGGATATTTACAATAAACGGGATAAAAAATGTATCCATTAGATGGGTGAAAAAAGTATTGACTAATGATTTGGAAATAAGAGGGGTATACCTAGGATAATATGAATAAAAGTTATTCAATTCAATTTGCTAAAAATTTGTTTAACACCTCTCATACACTCAACATGATGCTAAGTATGAATGGAAATTGAGGATTTATTAGGTTGACCTTCAAATAGTGGAGTAGGGATAGTGATGATCATTTCATACTATAAATTATTGGAGGTCGATATGGCTATTTAGGCTTCGTTTGGGACGGCTTTTTTACTGCTTTCTAAAACGGAGTTTTAGTACAAAATTTTTTATTTTTGTACTAAAATTCCATTTTAGAAAGCAATAATAAAGCCGTCCCAAACGAAGCCTTAGCATATGCTTTTTTCTGTTCACAACGATTACTCGCTTTCTGCACATGCACAACTAAGAAAAATGGGAGCATGCTCTGAGGTATATTTTCTTCGGAAGACACTTTGATGCTTGAATCAATATGGGATTGCAAGCTTATGAAAGATTAACATGACCAAATCTTTCCCAAAAAATAGTCAAAGAACTAAAATGATTTCCTAGGGCTTTGGAATTCATGAGCACTCATTTTTTATTGAAGAGTGGCATTTATATAAGTGAGGATAGGGGTGTAGTTTTACACTTTTGTCAATATGAAGTGTAGATGGTGGAGACACTTTATGTCTAATATCCATGTTGGATAGAGGTTCCCCTAGTTAAGTGGTACTTTGGTCCTCAGGTCCATTGGTGGATTAAGAGGAGGGAAACTTTGTTTCCTATATTTGTGTTGACCATTCTGCCCTTGGGGACTATGGACAAATGGATGGAGCCTAGCTTTGAAACTTGTGCTGTCAAAGATTAAATTAAAGTCTGTGGGTTGCTTTAATATTTTGTTCTAAGTGTGTTCTGAATTAGATTGTTATTTCATGGTTGATACTTCAAGAGTAGTGCTTAGTTCCTTGAATTTGATTGAAGGGCCTTCAAATGATGACCCAACAATGGGATTTGGAAGCACCATTGTTTCTTCCTACCCTCATTGCAGGAATGCTAGCGGTATGGTTGGATGGCTACATTAACTGGGTCTTTATAATTTTGTAGGAATTTATCAATTAAGATGATGGAGATATGCATTTCCCTCATCTCTAATTTTATTTTCCTAATTTTTTAGGTCTAGAAGGGCAAAACAGAACGTTAATTCTATTTATCTTCAATCGTATTAAGGGACATCAACCAAAGTGAACTATGAAGTTTCCCTTAGGAGGAAAGGTCCAAATAAAATATGTATAGCTTTCTGATAGGAAGTAGGGGCTCGTACATCCAAATTGATAGGAATGAGGTGCTTTTTTCAATCAAATTAACGAACCGTAATGGAAAATTGGGAATAAGACACACCACAGAACTTTTTATTGCAAGAAATTCGAAAGAATATAACAAGATACAATTGGATCCTCAATTGGAGAGGAAGATACGACTCTCCCAAATCTCTAGCCATTAGCTAGAGCCCAAAAATCCTAAGAATAATCTTATTTCAACAACCAACACATACCCCTAACCCTAGGAAAATCACCTATTTAAAGCAAACAATAAACAACAAATACCGAAACAGCTCTCTCCCAATTTCCTCATATTTTCTTAATTATTTCACTTCCAAATCAGCCCTCAAATTAGTCTCTAAATTTGCACTCTTTAATTAGAAAATATTTCTTAATTGATCCTCTCCAAATCAGCCACCAAATCCATCCTCTTCAATTAGAAAATATTTCCTAATTAATCCTCTCCATATCAATCCCAAAATCTGCCCCTCAAATGCCCAATTAGGAAATATTTCCTAATTAATCCCCTTTAATCAGCCTCCAAATATGCTTTCTTCAATTTAGGAAGCATCTAATTAATTTTCTTTGATAAAGAATCTTCCTAAACAACTCTCTATTGATTAGGACATTTCTTAATTCCCTCCCAATCAAATCTGCAGGCTCATCAATATTCCCCTACCAAAATGCCACATTGTCTTCAAGGTGGAAAAAAGAAAATTGTTGTTGAAGCACTTGACTAATAGCACTGGACTGAAACATGGACTTAACACTTGGTTGAATGATCCCTGCCTTCAGTATACCCGTGATCAATCTCTCGATCTCATCCTTTTGGATTTGTGGATAATGTTACGGAAGAACACTGATATGTGAGATTACTTCCTTCAAGATGATATCATGCTTATATTCTCGCGGATGAGGCAACCCCTGAACTGGATGGAACACCTCTCGATATTGTTGTAGGAGTGATTGAATCATGTTTGGTGCTTCTATCTTCTGCCCATCTTCTTCCCCTTCCAAACTCTGTAGCTCCACCAAAAATCTCATTCTTTCACCTCTTTGGAAGTGGCTGCAAAATTACCTCCATGACATGTGTCAATGTAATCGGTAATGTTGACCTGACATAAACTAGATTCTTCATAGGTGAGGTCCTTGAGTTCTTGTTCACTTGAGATTGAGAAATTACAAAGGCTTTGGAATCTTGCTCAATATAAGTAGGATTTATTAAACAAAATTTGCATCAGATTCAGTTACTCTAGCAAATTTGTTCATGCTTTATTGACAGTTCTACTTGACATGAATTGAATGTCATTGATGTTGATAATGTCATTTGATGTGAAGATCCAACACCTTTATCATTCCTTTTAGGTTGGAAAACTTTTCCTCTGATGACATTTTGTCCTCAAATGCTGATTTGAGTTGACCAACTTTTCCTTTAAGACGTTCTTCCAAGGCATCAACTCTCCTTGTCACCAAGTCTCCAAAATCACCTCCATGTCATTAGACTCTTTGATATCAATTTGATAGGAAGTAGGGGCTCTTACATCCAAATTGATAGGAAGAAGGTGCTTTTTCCAACCAAATCAGCGAACTGTAATGGAAAATTGGGAAGAAGACACATCACAAAACTTTTTATTGCAAGAAATTTGAAAGAAAATAACAAGATACAGTTGGATCCTCAGAGAGGAGGATCCGACTCCCTTAATCTCTAGCCGGTGGCTAGAGCCCAAACAAAACCCAAGAACTCTCCAAATTTTAACAAGCACAAGATAAAACCTTACCTTAGTGTAACCGATATATTTAAAGCATACAAAATATAGTTAATATCAAAACAACTATCCTAATTTGAAATTTTCTCCTAATCAAATCTTTAATTTCCTCTTTATCGTTTCCCTTAATTACTACTGGACTGTGGGCCTAACCCCAATTAAACTGGCAGAAGCCTATTTTGCCTCAATGGGCGGAAGGGTCTAACCAGTGGCAGAGCCATAAATATTTTTTTGGAGGGGGCACTAATTGTAGATTTTTAAAAATATCTTCAATAGTTTTTATTCGGACTTCAGATTGACATTGACAGTTTAAAAATAATTGAGTTGTTAATCTAAAAATATAAATTACATAAAAAAAATCAAGAGCATCTAATATACTTAAATAAAAATAAATATATTTTAATAGTACTGTAATATATTTAAAAAGAATTAAATTATTTGAATAAAAATTTAAGTTTTGTAAAGATAAAAAAGAATAAATAAAGATAAAGAAATCAGAGCAGGTTCGCATTTTCCCATCTCCGTTGTTCATTCCTCTTCTCCTTTGCCTCCTTTGCGTATAGTAGAGGTTTGAACTAGTTGCTAAATAACTTCTTCCTCCTTTGCGTATAGTAGAGGCTAAGGATATCAATTTTACCATTTAGACTTTAAAAGATGAGATAAATCAGAACTCCAAAAAGGAATAAAATAAATTAAACTCCATCATCTTTCACTACTTTTTTTATAGGAGAAAAGAATCAAAATGTCTCCCTGTTTTGTTTTATAATAGATCAAAATAATCCCTAATTATATGGAAGGATTATTTTGATTCCTCAATTTCTTAAAGAGAATCAAAATTATCTCATCATAGAACCTTTTTATTTCCTTTTTAAAGATTTATGGGATCAAAATAATTCTTTAATATAGTTGGGATCATTTTGATCCGTCACAAAAAATCAAGAGATTATTTTGATCTTTTTCCTTCTTTTTAGCTCCATTTCAATCTTCTTACATATAACTATGAAACTTAAATAAATATATCTTTATATAAACATAAATTCATGTCATATATATTATATATTTGCTTTTTTTTTTATTTGAATTTTAGAATAAAATTTGTGTACAATGCATACTTATCAATTCCCGTTGAATACCCTTCATGCATTTTATATTTTTATTGAGGATGCACTGTTCTTTTTTAGCAAGAGATGATCATAAAGACGAGAAGAAGTGGTGATTGAAATCTCAGTCAGATGAACGATTCTTCTGCATTTGATTCCCTTTTTATAATATGTTACCTGCAAGCTTATTAAAATAAAATTTGTTCAGGTTATTATTTCCTAGGCTTTGTTTGGGAAGACTTTTTTACAGCTTCTTAAAGCAGTTTGTTAGTACAAATTCTTTTTTAAACTTAAGCTTTTTGTACCAGACAACGGTTTCAAAAGCAATAAAAAAGTTATCCCAAACTAAGGCTTCGTTAGGGATGGCTTTTTTACTGCTTCTTAAAGCAGCTTTCTAGTACGAAAATTAAAATTTTGCACTAAAAAATTATTTTAAGAAGCAGTAAAAAAATAGTCCTGTTTGTGACTGATTTCTTACTGCGTCTTAAAGCAAGTTTCCAGTACAAAAATTTTAATTTTTATATTAAAAAGATGTTTTAAGAAGTAGTAAGAAAGCCAACCCAAACGAATCCTAAGTCTTACTTTTGCCTCAGCGTTGGGGTTAGTTCTTGTTTAAATATGTGGTTCATTTTACTTTCATCATTTTTCAGCCATATTATTCCAAAGCTCCTGGACAATGGAAGCTCTACATATGGAGGAAATATAGCTTCATAAATGTCAAGAAGATTGCAAAGAAGTGACACATGAACTCCATCCATAAAGCTGGGGATTGTAGCTGTACTGCCATTGATCTTGATAATACTTACTTGAATAGCATGATTTTATTTTTCTAATTTTCCTAGTTAGAATTTCGTTGCTGCTGTCTATAAATTTGATATTTTGGTGGTTTTGACATTTTAGCCTTTTGTAGCTTCAGATGTTTTGAATTGATTGCTGGAATAAAGGACACACCTTCATCCTTGAAGTTTTGGTCTAGGGGTGTAAACAAGTCAAGTCGAGCTCGAGTTACATTCGGCTTGGGTTTGAGCTTGATTATTTAATTGAATTCAAGCTTGAGTTTGAACTTATTCAACAAGTTCGAGTTGGCTCATTTATTACGAAATAGAAAAAATCATTCTGATTTAAGTAATTAATATAATAAGATGGTCAAAAAAAAAAAGAGAGGAGAAATTATATGAAAAGAAATAAAGAAATACTTAATAGTATAAGTTATGATATAATTTTTAAATATAATTTTTTAAATATAGAGGAGAAATTATAGGAAAATAAATAAAGAAATACTTAATAGTAGAAGTTATGATATAATTTTTAAATATAATTTTTTAAATATTTTGATTGTAGAATGCTTAAGGATTTATGTAGTCGATTTCATGTAGTGAGATAAAAAATTGATATTGTTGATGTAAAATGCTTATTCAGAGTGGATTGCTCAAAATTGCAATTACTTGGATTTTATTTTGGATATTTTTTTATTAATTTATTTTTTAGATCATAATTATAATTTTTATTTGATCATTATTATTTATCATTTTAAAAAAATTAGGTTAAAAAGCTATTTTTTATAGTGGTTTTAAATTTTTTTTTTTAAATTATATTTTTATAATCACTTTTATAAAAAGAGCATCAAACCCAAACGGATTCTAAACAATCTAAACCTTTAGGCTGCTTTAATGCTCCTATTGACGAACAATTATTACGTCCTCCGATCGGACGCAGAGGAATGTCCGGTCGGAGGCCAAATCCCGCCAAAAAACTAGTTGTACCGAGCAAATACCGAACAATACCAAATAATAACGAGGAATACCATCATTTGAAGACCCAATACCGAGTTATACCGAGCTAAACCGAGAAATACCGAGTTATACAAAAATTGTACCGAGTTTTTCCGGTTCAACTCGGTATTTCTCGGTACAGCTCGGTATAACTCAATATTGGTCTTCAAAGAGCGGTATTCCTCGTTAATATCAAATAATACCGTACAAATACCGAGTTTTTTGGCGGGATTTTGCCTCCAACCAGACGTTCATCTACGTACTTACACCGGACGTAATAAAAGTTCCAATTGACTCTGTATTTGCTTTGATTATAAGAAAGTCGGATATTTATTTTAGTTATATTAAAATTGAACCAAATAAATTTAATTATATTTGCAATGTGATTTTGTTCTATCTATGATTTAGGATTCATTTGGGACAACTTTCTTACTATTTAAAATAATTTTTTAGTATAAAAAATTCTAATTTAAAAATTTTTTTAACTAAAAAGATATTTTAAAAAGCATTAAGAAAGTTGTCTCAAACGAAAACTTAGTTCATTCAGTTCTACCTGTAATCTGATTTGATTTAATTTAGTTTAACAAATTCTTGAACCGGTCAGTATGAACCACCGAAGAATGAACACTCATAACATTACATAATATTCACCTTGATCAAATTTTGTTTGAACCTTAATTGAACATTATTCAAATCGAAATCAATCCAAGTTGGAACCTTATTCAAACAAAATTTTAGCAAAAATTGATCATGATTTGAGCAATGTTCAATAATAATTTAAATAATACTCGATTAAGATTTGAACCGTGGTTGAATTGTATTGCTTTGCCCTCACTATCAATACTGAAATTAGCTCATTGAGTTAAATGTTTGCTATATCATTATAGTGTTGGGGTCACATACAAAATTGATAGGGTGAAGGAGAAAATAGTAAGGGAATTTGAAACTAATGACTTTATTATGTTCAACATTAGATAAAACGACAACATTTATCATTGTGGTCTTGTTGCACTAATAAGTGCTTAAAGAGAGTTGGAGTTCAAATATAATGCTATAATGCTACAAAAGTTGTAAAAAATAAAAAAATAAAATAAAAAATAAAAATAAAAATAAAAACAAAACAAAAAATAAAAAATAAAAAATAAAAAAAAAATAAATAAATACAAAAGTTGTGTTCAAATATAATGCTACAACATTTATCATTCAATTCAACACTACAATGCTATAGCAAACATTCATTATAGCTTTGGGGTCACATATTAAATATTGAACATCTCCTTGCAATTTAATGCTATAATGTAGTTAATGGTTCAAATAGAGTTGAATTGAATGATGTAACAAATATCAAAATTATTTAATTGACATTTAAATGATATAATAATTATATAAAAATATAAATTTATGATTAAAAAATAAATAAAATTCATATACAAATAACATATTCTATATATTTAAATTTAAGCATATTCAATTATTAAGTACAATTTTATTTTATGATATTTATATATCTAACATCTAAAACTTTAATATTATATACTTACCATCCATATAACAAATATGAGTGCATTGAATAAAATATGAAAATTTATAGAATAATATGAACAGTAAAAATGAAATATAAAAGTGATATATTTAATATTAAAATTTTAATGACAGTGATGATTGATGGTTGGACTTTTTTTTTTGGGACATTTAAGGGACTCCAGTACGGCTGAGAGGAGAGGAATTGCTTTCGTCGACCGTCCGCCGCAATCCCGATCTCGATCGAGCTGATTTTCATTTACAAAAATAATAATACCTTAAACACATCTAAAAGTTGAGTCTTTTAAAAAAACAGACTCATTTTGTTTTTAAAAGCAAAAGATAAAAATAGCTTAAGAATACAAATCATACTATATATATATATATATACATCTCAAAGAGCCACTAGATTTTCATTTGGGATGGCTTTCTTACTGCTTCTTAAAGCAACGTAAGATTTTGATCAACTTTCAATATTTTTAGTAGTGACTAGTGACAGAAATAACAGCCAATAAAAAATAATATTCCTAATGGATGACAACTACTTTACTGTTTTTTTCAGCACAAGCAGGTAACAAAATCATAAAAATTGAGATAATTTACAGCATAGTCATGAGAGGATTCTTTATGATTCAAGCCACAATTCAAAGTAATACATTGAAAGCACAAGCCCAATTCAAGAAAAACAAATGTCTACATAAATATACAATTGGTAGTGACCTTCCAGAATATCAACAAGAGAACAAAGTTACAAGATACAGGATATGCAATCTGCTATGAAATTGCCATAAATGAAGGACAGAAGAAATTAACAAGGAGCATATGAAGTGCCACTTTGAATAAAGAGAAAGATTTCTGAAATTTGAACATAAAATATGAGGAACAGTTACCTTGCAAACACTCAAAACTGGAGATCCCACAGCAGAATTTAAGATGGATCCAAACAACAAACAAACACACTTTGGTAAATCTTAGATGATAAATCAGTCAAGCCATCGAGAAATCCCATCCTCTTCACCCACAGCTGCAAGAATCTCAATGTGCACATCCAATACTGCCTGCAACCATTAGCAAAACCAAGTCAATTTTAGGCAACTCATTTTGTTACTTAACAGAAAAATCACAAAATTTTATGTCAATTTAGATTCAAATTTACCAAAATGAACCCATAATGACTCAAGTATGATAATGATTTTTTTTTTTAAAATTTCATTTTAAATAAGAACTAGTATACACACACTTTTTTTATTTGTAAATTTGATTAGAATAAAAGGAATAAGAATCACATCACGCATGATTCTTCATTTTTTGTGCATCTAGTAATTTGTGTCATCGACTTGTTCACGAGTAATTTTTGAAATTGGACTCAATTTAGAGTATATTTTACATTTTGGATGCAACGACGAAATTCACTTCGTAAACAGACATCGTCTAGGTGACAACGCGCAACATAGCTTCCGCAAACGGTTGATTTTGAGCACTTCTGCTTGATTCGTTTATGTGAGGTCTCCCCTTAGGTAAATTTGATGTCCCGAATATATCGGTCCATGGTTTAAAATTGCACAATATGAGGTTCGCCTTTGCGCAATTCCAATAAAAAACGCCTCGAGTTTTTTTTATGAGGCTCGCACCTCAACTTGGTTGAGGCCCGCCTTGAGGCCCGCCTCGCCTCACTGGCATTAGGCTTACGCCTCACGCTATATATATTAAAACTTACATAAATCTTGAAGTAAATGCCCGACATTGGACTCTATAGGAAAGGAGGAAGGGGAGAGAACATTTCATCATAATGATGATTCAAATGAAGAACCCCTTAGTGATAACAGTGCTGATGACTTATGAATTCTTATGTGATATGTCATTGCTATTTATTTTTGGAAATTTGAATTATATATTAATGAAAAGAATATTGGGATTTGGGAAAGATAGAATTTTGAGTTGAACTATATTTCATGTTGTCTTATTATTGAGATATTTTGATTTCACTTCATATCTTATACTTTTTTATGTTTTATATTATTCCTCATTATTATATAAAAATTTATCATTTTATGTTTACGCAATCTTTTAATTTTGAGGCTTACGCCTCAAAACGCCTTGAGGCTTACGCCTCGACTCACGAATGTAAAACGCCTCAATACCCAAATACGCAATTTTAAACATTGTATCGGTCTAGTCCGTTTGACAATTGAAATTTGTTTCGGGTAGTTTTGTAGAGTGTCCTGCTTGTTGACCATTGTGCTCGTCATCATTTTCGATTGAGTAGTACACAAGTGACTCTTCTTTGATGATTCTAATGTCCTGAGTGCATTGGTGTAATCAATTTTGCAATCGAACAAAGTTTGAGGTGGTTCCATGCACGATTAAAGCATTTTGATGTTCGCTCCGAGCGATGTTTTCGTTAGCTATCCATCAACAGCCATTATCTCCCTTTGTATTGACTTTTGGAGTATAAGTAGAGCTCAACAAATACCAAAGTGAATTGAACAATCCTTGATAAGAGTCATGTTTATGCGAATATCAACCAAAGGGGACTCTATTATTAAAATGCCACATGGACTCGGATCAAACATGATCCACTAGGACCACTACCATAGGATTGTCAAATGGGTTGATGGGTCGAGTTCGGGTCCTACCTGAAATTGATCCATCCCAAATCCAGTCAACCCAAAACCCGACCTGTTTAATAATGGATTAAAAGACCAACCCGAATCCGACGCTTTCACAACCTGAATGACCTAAATCCGACTCGTTAACTCATTTTGGTTAAAAAATAATAAAACTTATTAACTATAAAATTTAGGATATTTAATAAAAAAATAAAAAGATTAAACCCACAAGAAAAAAATATGAAAAAAAATATTAAGTGGGTCATTTTTGGATCAAAAGTGGGCTTGCGAGTCAACCTGAACCCGAGCCATTTAATGAATGGGTTGGAAAACACAACATGAACTCGAATTTTTTGGGTTGGGTTATTTATTGACACTCCTATTCTGCCAAGAAGTGGGTAGAGTTGACAAAATTCAAATAACAAAATGAAAAAAAACTCAAACTCAAGCCCTCTTATGATAGTTGTGTTGAAAGTAAATCTCAACCGAATGAGTCAATTCTCAAAATCAAAATTTTCACATTATGAATACAAATATTTGCTTAAATGACTTCAACGTCACCCCAATGATAGTCATGTTTAAAGACAATATCAATTGGAGGGGTCCATTTTTAAAAATTGTATTTTCATGTTGTAAATATAAATACACCAAGTGATTTTAACATCAACCCAATAATGGCTACATTAACAAAAAATATCAACAGGAGGGAACTACATAATTTCAAAATGCCCCCAAATTCCAAATCACTTAGGCTTAAATTCCAATAAAATATAAATTTTAATATTTATAAAAAATCCAAAAATATTCAAGTGAAATTAATCTCATAGAAACTAAAGCAAAATCCATCTACAATTCGCAACTATTTATCAAGTGTGATAAATTTGAGAATAACTTCAACTCATAAGAGCAAATATCTTGAAAAGCATATTATTAAGTGATGAGGACATCGGACTATGGAGAGTCTACAGTAGGAGAGGCTGACGAATTACAGCCGTGATTGAGTCGATATATTTCTAATTTTTTGTTGTTTGTATGAGACTTATTTATCATTTATGTTATTAGTTTTTTCCTGTTCTGCCCTCTACTTATGTGATGTGCCATGGGCATTGTTGTCTTTTGGTTATTCCCTTTGTTTGGGCCTATATATATGGCTCCACCACCGCATGTAATGTTATGATGTTTATGTTATAAAATTATGATTTTGTGTGATCTTATTCTCTTGGAGAATTGAGAGTGTGAGCATGAGAAGTCCTTGGAGAAGACCAAGCATCACCCAACAGCCTTTGGGCTCTTGGTTTTTATCTAGCTGAATGCCCAACCCCCATCTCCTGCACCAGCCGAGCGTCTCCCACCTCCACTGCAGCCCCTACAGTCCACAAAATTCTGCCTCACCACCAACAACAAATGCCCTTTCATTTTTTCTCTTGTGACCCTTAATATTTCAATATTAAATGAACTTGAACCCTTGGTATTCCCAAGCATAATTAATGTGGAAATCAATTTGAATTTTTATTTAATTTGTGGGATTTTCACACCACCTTTCCATCTTCCCAAGCAACCCTCATTAAGTTTCAACTTTTTCCCTTCCAAAGTAAAACATTAATTCCCCACTTACCCATGCACAACTAATTACAATTCAAAGCTTGTAATTAATTGGTCAAATTTCCCTTAATTACTTATTCCTAATCCCAAGCCTACCCACTCCTCTTCCCATGTACTGTCATTAATTACCAAGCAATTCCATAAGCTCCACTTAATGTCACCTTGATGGCCTTCCCCTTTTCCACGCTAGCCGACCCCTTCCCCTTCCCTCTTCCACTTCATTTCTTCTCCAAGTGACTGTTTTTCTCTCTCATTTCAGCCACACTCAAAGGAGAAATTAGTGAGCATTCAAATTTAAATTCAGCCAACATCAAGGATGAATCCCATAGAAATTTGATAGCATTTTGCAAGAGAAGCAAATATATGAAGATAGTCATCAAGGAACTCAACTACGTTATTATTGAGCTAAGTATCTAAACCATTCTCCTTAATTATTCTCCTCTTAGCCAGATACTTGGTTAGCCTTCATTCTTGGTAACATTGTTGCAAGTTTGTTATTTTGAAAGGACTTCATTTGCATTGTTCTTTGTTGAATGTTGTGCTTGTGCTGATTTACATGATTTATGTCTCAATTATCTTATCATTTGTAATGTCAAGCCAGTACATGCAAGTGTTCAAGTAACTTCACATATTTCTAATTCAAATAGCCTACCGTTCTTACTGTTTTGCAAAGTTTATGTTGCTGCATTTTAATTCATTCTAGCAAGAAATCTCTCTTTGCAGGACTTGATCATTCAGTCCTGCATCACTAAGATTCATTTTCAAAATAGTCTATCAGTAGTAAGGACATCATATGTCATATAACTGGTGATTTTGCTGTCAAATGACACCATAGATAAAAAAATTATGATCGAACCCTCAACAAAAGGCTCAATTAAACCATACTCAGAGTTAGAGTCCGCATACTCCCTAATGGTTAAAAACCCTTTGAGTAATGAATCATAGATTATACTTGATAAGACACAAAGCCTGCTGTTAGTCAAAGTCTACTTGAATTTATCCCCTTAAACAAACATCTATCCCAAGTCTTCAAGACTACCGACAAGGATCATATGGTCAGGTCAGATCGACTACCTCCTCTGACTATAAAGACTAAAAGTTCTGATAATCTTAAACGACATAATCATGAGATCTTGATCGAGCTCATCATCATTCTCTCCACCATCCATTTTAAGTGTAATGTTATTTCAAATCATAAATATCAAATTTATTATTACTATAAGTTCGGTACTTAGTAACTATCTAATAACTAGTTATAGTCAAAAGTGCCTCTTCGATCACCGAAGAGATAATTACCATAGGTACTTGCACCTAAGAAAAATCTGAACTCACATTATAAAGTCCTCAGAAAATGAGGGTAATGCCTTTTCAAATCTAATCAGTCTTTTAAAAATGTAATCTGAATATCCATTAAAACTATCCTAATGTGGAGAGGCCTAAGAGCAAATTTTTGGAGCCCACATAAATGAAGAAAAGGTGATTAAGGTAAGCAAGGTAACAAAAGGCCTTTTTCCATGCATTACCAATATTGTGGTCATACCAACACCAAATGTTGAAAGCTCCACCCAGACTTGAAGCCAAAGAAGGGAGGAAAGGGATAACAAACGACTAAGGGTATACAGAAAGAGTGCAGATTGGTAGGGTGGAATAAGAGAACCCCAGACTCAATTTAATGGCTCATAGAAGCCACCCAAGAGGTAAAAGCTACATAAATCAATCAATGAAAGGGTTGGACAGCAAATATGGCAGTAAACTATCCTCCTAAAACTTTCCAAATTGCTGCCACAACCCGTCCAAATAATAAAATATTAATTTGGCATACAAAAATAGCAAATAATACCTCTAAAACAGTTCTAACGACACTCTAAATAGAAAAATAAGTAAAAAAAAAACGTTATTAATATAGCCTGTAAAATAAGGGCAATCCCAAAAAAAGCCAGGAGAAAGGGGACAAAAGGTGTAAGAATTATACATAAATACAAACAACTACATGCTGAGTAATGGAGTTTACTCTCATATAATACCAATTGGGAAGCTAAGATATCCACGTAAAATAAAAAAAATATATGAATATTAAAGTATCTTAAATGGTATAACTTAGATGATGTTCCTACAACAAATGTATCTCATAAAAATGAAATAGATAAAATAAGATATTATTTGTACTGTATAAAAGAATGCTTCAAAACTTCTTATGTGGTCATCTTTCAATAAAATGAATTGTCAAATGCTTATTTAATGATTATGAAAAGCATAAATTGATTTTTAAATGCCGTTGTCACGAAAAAAATTACAAATATTATGTACCTACTAAGTTACATTATATCTCACACCTACTATTTAGCAAATTTATATAGATAAGGATTCTATAGTTTCAAGAGTGAGAGAAGGGAGTTCAAGAATTACCGACGTGGCTACAAGTAACAAGTATTCAAGATTTGTAACTGTTAAAAAAATTACATTAGAATTGTTGTATTTTTCTTAGTATAGAATAAGCTTTATATAGTAGCAACTCTTTCATTGTATTGGTTGATGATATCTTTAAAATGTTAGTAAATTTTTTTGGGTATCAATTTTAGAGTTAGTAAATGATATTTAGAAACACCGTCCAACTGTATGTTCTTGCTTGATACTCCCCTGATCGTGAGACAACTAGGCAAAGAGGTAAAACAAGGAGTTAGAGGTTTTTTTTTTGTCAAGAAAAAAATTCAATTTATTTACGAGAAATGTTAGCAGAAAACAAGAGTAACAGGAAGCTCATAGATAATCAGAGCAACCAGTGTTGCAAGCCTGCGTAAATCCATCTTCGCCATTCTTACGAGAAACGCAAAACAAGGAGTTAGAGGTTGACTGTGGCGAGAAAGAGTTGACAAGCTTTTGTTGAAGTCCAAATTAGTTGGAAAGGTCAGTAGAGGCTACTGTGGTTGGCTTTCTGATCAGCAATTGGATTCATAGATAGCATGAGTGAGGGCAAATTATATGCTAGGAAGACGAGTTTTTGTTTGACTCCAGCTAGTTTAAGGATTTACCAAATCACTAGGTAAATGCCAGCGGGATTTAAGCATGTAAGTTTGATAGGAATCAAAAGGCATTGAACGAGTTTAAGGATGGATGGTTATGAGATTTGATGAGTTAGGATGGTGCAGGCCTGCAGGGTCACAATTTCAAGATATGTGCCTGTTATAGGATCAATCAATTTGTTCAAAGAAAAATATGATAGCTTGATCGAATCTTGCATTGATATACTAAATTAATGAGGTGAGAAGATAAGATGAGGTAGAAAAAAGGATAAAACAATCCACATGCAAAACTTAAAGAAAAAGCACTCAATTAGCCTAACGAAAAAAATCAATCTTATCTTGATGTTCAATCATATGAATACAAGCCATGATCTTATTTATACAAGTAGGGATATAAAGTTAAGACAAGAATTTTAAATCCAATCATATCAAACATTTAAATTCAGGCCTAATATTATCAAAATAAAATAACATTAAAAAAAAAAACCAAATAAAAAAAAAATCAAATCAAACAAATCAATTAAAAACAAGAAAAAATTCGGGCATAATTGAATATGTTACTAAAAAGGCTTGAAAATTGATCCAATTAAGCTCCTTCGTAGCCTAGTTCAATTCTTTTCAGTCGGGTTTTTATAACTGGCTGAATTATATTGCATCAATCAGTCTTTCAACATATCATACATGCATTTTTTTGCCACCCTGATTTCAAAATTAGGGTTCGTTTGCACGCTCTACAATATTGCTCTACATACTAGCAACAATGCTAAATGATCAAGCAAAACGTTATTGCCCGAATATGCTTCTGCCCCGATATTATCGGGCTAGCCGGGCCGGGTCGTGACAAAAACAAGAAAAAATTCGGGCATAATTGAATATGTTACTAAAAAGGCTTGAAAATTGATCCAATTAAGCTCCTTCGTAGCCTAGTTCAATTCTTTTCAGTCGGGTTTTTATAACTGGCTGAATTATATTGCATCAATCAGTCTTTCAACATATCATACATGCATTTTTTTGCCACCCTGATTTCAAAATTAGGGTTCGTTTGCACGCTCTACAATATTGCTCTACATACTAGCAACAATGCTAAATGATCAAGCAAAACGTTATTTCCCGAATATGCTTCAAAATATTTAGTAGCCCACTAAACCATTAAGAGACTCCAGTGCAAAGAAGTTAATTACTCACCAATGGATTTCTACAATTGACCAGCCTACATTCTTCAAGCGAATATCCTTCTAACTTCCAACTCTCCCACACGTCAAAATTATAACTCGCAAATACGAATTCCATTCTTCTGTTTATCTGCCCAAAAAATAAAACAATTACAAACAGATTTGTAAAGAAATATCACGTAACTTTAAAAGCAGCTAAACAAGTAAAAATATCATTAGGGCCAATTGTACCGTAGCTCTGCAGTCACAGTAAATGCCTCATCGCAAGGAATATATTACACTATATCAAAGATTTCATCCCAACTCTATGAACAAAAATTGCTCACCAAGTCATCCAGAAACGAGGAATAAATAATGTGTGTTACAAAATTTTAATTACAGAAACTATAGAATGAGTGGTAAGGATGCACCATGTTGTATTAATGAAACTAGCAGAAATCAAAGGATGAGAATGCAAAGCCCATTATAAGCTTCTAGGAACAAGTAAACTCTAGAAACATATCAAAGCACCGACATATTGTTGAACCAAATACTAATCAAATAGAAAAAAAAAAAAAAAAAAAAAAATCACAAAACACTCTTTCATCCTTGTACATTTGAGAACACAAAATACCATTTCCAGAATCTGGATGATATCGAAATTGGTGATGCTTTGCTATGGTGCATCTGTTATTATAGGAATGAGAAAATAATCAAAATGGTCCATAAACTCTTTGTGAGGGATAAAAATGGTCCCAAATTCTTTCGAGGGACCAATTTGGTCTCTCAACTCTTTAAAATAAGATCTTTTTGGTCCCAACATTCAATATTGAAGTAAACAGTGTTAAATGTAAGGATATTTTAGTCATTTTTAATTAAATATTTATTAAATATAATTTTCAAGTAATTATATATATATTTTTTTAAAAAAATTATTACATTTTTCTTTAATAAAAAAATTAATAATAATCTTAGTTTTAATTTCAAAAAATTTTCATATTTTATAAAACATTATTGATAAAAATATGTGTGAAGTTAAAAATAATATATATTTGCATGTGATTTCTCTAAATCAATAAATATCATATTTTATAAAATATGACGAAATTTTTTGAAATTAAAACTAAAATTATTATTAATTTTTTATTAAAGAAACATTTAATAAGACTTTTTTTTTTAATTTATAATTAATTGAAAATGATATTTAATAAATATTTAATTAAAAATCACTAAATACCCTTACATTTAACACCATAAACTTTAATATTGAATGTTAGGACCATAGTTGTCAATGGCGCAAAATAGCGCGCGTCATGGTGCACGGTGCGGCGCGGCGCACCTACGGCGCCATGTTCATGGCGAGGCGCATGTGTTTAAAATAGCGCGCGCTATTTGCGTCACATGTGAGCCATGGTGCATCGTGCACGGCGCAAAATAGCGCGCCAAATTGTTTTTAAATTTCATTATACTTATGAATATTTTTTACAAGAATTTACAACTTAACAAGTATGATTCTTATTGATTGCTTACTTGAAGTGTTTCACTAGAAACCATGGTTTATAGGCATTCACCTCTTAAATTTTTTTTTTTTTAAAAAAAAACTCGGTACCTCTAGGTACATGCTCGATACCGCTATGTACATGCTCGGTACTGCTAGGTCAAACCCCGCCAGGGGACAGCGTCCCCTTGGACCCTCGGCGGCCCAGCATATTGTTGTATTCATCATCTTTAGTAATAGTTGTTAGTGTTAGTCTGCTTCTTCACGAGTTCCTGCTTTGTATAAGTTTTCTTCATGAGTGCATGCTTTGATTGGGAGACATTGGACTCTATAGTAGAGGAGGAAGGGGTGAGGACTTTAAATGTGAATTATTGTGTCTTGGATAGCTTGTCTTTCATTTTTAATGATATTTCATATTCATGCTTATTATTTTATAATTCTTATATAGTTTGCGCCATGTTAAAAATGACGCGCGCCGTGCTGTGCGCTATGGCTCTAAAGGGACCTTTGCGCCATGGTGCGCCATTCGCTGTTAACAGGTATGGTTAGGACAAATAAGGTTTCATTTTAAGGAGTTAAAGGACCAAATTGATCCCTCAAAGGAGTTGAGGATTATTTTGATCCCTCACAAAGAGTTAAGAAACCGTTTTGATCCTTTTCTCTTATAAGAATATTAGCGACTTTTTTTATCACATAAATCATTAAAATGCTAATACCCAACTTCACATTTAAGACTGAATTTTAGTACAACTTCTTTTATCACATACATCATTAAAATATATTTACAAAGCTTTATTTGGATTTAAAATTAAATTTAACTCAAAGATCAAGGAACACAAAAACAGTTTCTCCATTATTGGCTCAGAACATGTGTGGATCAGAGTCAACCAGCCTTATAATGAGTAAAGCAAGGCTCGATTCAAAATTGAATTAAGTTGAAGCTAGATAAAATCAAGCTAGCATGAGATCTTATTGGAATGTATATGCATGTACATGTAAATATATGCATGCATATATTTGTATATATATTCAAAACCGTACACTGACCAAATAGAAGCAATGAATAGTACCAATCACCATAATTATTAAATCAACATAAATTTACTAACCTGTAATAGTTTCCCCCCAGCAGCTAAAGATCGCAATCCTACTGTATCCTGAAGAGAGTAGATACAAAAAGGACGCAATGGTTGTTAAGATGAATTTCCTAGGGCATGTATAGGACAGAGAAATTAAAAAAAAAAAAGACAAACAAAAAACTCGAGTGGCAGACCTTGCTCCTAAAAGAAACAAGGAATTGTGCAGCAGGATCCTTTTTAGTTATGCTGGAAATTGTATCAAGGAACCAACCAGCACCAGGTACTCTTTGTCTAGACACATGAAAGCCAGGATGATCTCTAGCACGCAAAGCTATTACAAAGCCATCTTTCAGAATTTCAACAGATTTCATACCAACTCCCTTAGTTACTGTGACTGGTTTCTCAACAGATTCCATGTTTGGTCCTAAAAGACAAACTTGCTTATTTTTAGAATCCTCAGGAAAAGTAAAACGAGAACTTTGTTCTCTAGTACTTGTGGCAGTATCATCATCTTGGTGAGATCTGTGACAGCTATCAACTCCAGAGAAATCATCAGATTTTCGCTGGGATCTTTGCCGTGCAGATCTCTTCTTACCTTTTTTGCTATAACTACTGTTCTTGCCCTCAGATCTTGAGGCAATATTTTGAGAGAGCACCGAAACTTGTGACTCTTTCAACTGACTGATCCCTACCTTTTGATTATATCCTGCATTGAACTGGCTTACATCTATCCTCTGCTCAGCATCAAAAAACAGAGGATTTTCCATTACTTGCTTCTCTGATTGCTCATCATATGCTATATCACTCTTTTCTTCATCTTCATCAGAAACATCATTATTTGGAATAACTCCATCAAGCAAAAAAGATTGCAACATACAAATGGCTTTCTCCCTTACTTCCATCCATGCTTCTTCACTGTAATCAGCGCTCCTGGGAAGAATTATCACATTCGGCATCTCTCTAATCTGAAATGAAAAAAATTCATTATCTAATAAAAGTTAAATGGGCCAGCACATCGAAGATGCGCACAAAGTTAATAGATGACATGCCAGTATATAGGCTAAGATACAGAAATTTACATGCTAACAATAGTATGTAACCTAAAAAATGACAAAAAAAGTAATGCACCAAAGTTTCAAACCACCAATTCAGATCCGGGTATTATATATAACACAATTGGTACTGTGTATAGACAGATGCATAAAAAATTGCAAGACTAAATGATGAAGATGCAAACCAACAAAACGATGATGAAAAGGCTAATGCAGCTAAAGATCAAGTCATCAAACTAATAAATATATAGCACAATCAATCATCTTTGCAAACATGCTCAATATTAAAATAAGTAACAAAAATATTCCATTTTTTTTATAGAAGTGATTTCAAACATGATTATATTTTTCATTGAAAAACACTAGCGGAAAAACAATAAGCTATATCATCGAGAGACAGATCCATCGAGATTTGATGAATGATCATAGATATTTGTAGAAATAGATGAGAAAGATTATTAGTGAATCTAAAAACAAGATTCTAAATACAACTAAGAACATATAGTAGAGCAGTTGTAGACAATATTGTGAAAATTCAGCAACGCATGGATGCATAAAACCATGAAGAAGTCATATGGCGGCATGATCCTAAAATGTCATAGTAACCCATCCTTCCTAACTGAACATTATGAGGATCATAGTAATTCATCATTCGTAAAGAACATTATCAGTCCATAACAAACCTAATCAATTCAAAGAAATTCTAAATTCACAGTTACAAATTACAAGCAAATTCCAAAAGCCTTGTCTACTATGAAGAAAAAAACTAACAGTAATATCAGCAAGACAACTTGTCCATTAATACCATTTCTACTAATCAGTATACCTAAGCTTACAATGTTCTGTTCATTTTCTGATGCTCTCACTACACAGCTATATTTAAAATTGGCAAAGAACTAATTAGTTAGAATGTTCAATAATGCTAAAACACAAGCTTTTTATGATGTGTCAGATTTTCCTAGTTTTGATTTCTTTAGAGTACAAAGTATGAGTAAGTTAAACAGTTTTTTCTGCAGGACTAAGTATATTTTAAATGAATGTGAAAAGAACTTGCACGTTGAATAAGAGCAAATAATAATTAAGACTGTTAGCCACTAAATGATCATAGAAAAGTAAAGAGGGATAACTATGCTTAGGTCAAATCACATGCTAAGAATTAAAATCATCAAAGTAATCAGAATTTCAAACGAAGCAAATTAAGTATTTATCAAATTGAATCCATAGGTTAACAATGAGATAAGAAACAAAGAAAGTCAAAACTCAAATTATACGTTTACTAGGCAAAGGTAGAGAGCTTGGCATGTATCCTTGTGCTTGAATCATAACCTACACGAGCAGAGGATTAGAAGATAATTAGAATAGGGGGAAAAAGTTCATCCTTGTCAAGGATCGGAAGTGATTTGTCACTGAACATTGGCAAGTTGCTCTTCGATTGCTTTGAATAATGTGAAGATGATGTGATCCAGGTATTCTTCGGCGGAGTTGTCTACTTCCGGGTTGATGTTGAAGAATGTTGATCGGAGAATGTCGACATTTCCTTGCTCGTTATAGAAGAATCCAGAGTCGAGTTCAGGATCGTCCATTCATGTGTGGGAAGAGATGTAGATGGAATGATTGTGATCTTCTAATCCTTGAGAGAGAGCAAGCTCAAGAGACTTGAAGATGATTTGAGAGAGGTGGGAAAGGGGGTTCGACCGATGAGAAGGAGAACCAAACGTTGATATTAGGGTTTATGTTTGAGAGGGAAAGAAGTTAAAAATCTGAAGTTAATTTTCAGATTTTAAATTAGAGGTTTGGGAATTGGAATTTAAATTAATTCCAAAAAGGGGAAAGGGGAATTAATGGAGGGAGAGAGGGAGCTAGGAGAGAGGGGCCGGCGGCTTGTTGAGGTGGAGAGGGCTTAGGGAAGGTGAGTTAATGCTTTCCTAATCAAGATCCTCAAATTAAGGAAAAAGAAATTAAATCAATTTCTCTTTAAATTTGATTTGAGCTTGATTTAGGGAACTTTCCTAAAATACATTTCTATTTTAGGAAAGATTTCAATTTTCAAAATTTGCTTGAATAATTGAAATTAAAACTTTCCCAAAAGAGATTATGTAGAAAAAGGAAAGTAATGATGAGGGGTTTTGAAATTTTGGAGGCAAAAGGGGGAGGGGTAGGCCGGTGGCTAGTCTAGGGTTGGGTGGGAATTCGGGTGTGGTGGTGGTGGGCTCGACCTAGAGGGGAGGAGGGAATTAGGTGGGTGGCCGCTTGGAGAGGTGAAGGTGGTTCTTGTTGGCTGATGGTGGGGTTTCAGTGGAGGTGGCCGGCGGCTTGAGGTGGGGGTGGTCCGTGATTTGGAGGAATAAGGAGCGAGGGAGATTAGAAAGAAAAGAACAGATAAAACTAGCCACGAACCCGGACTCTTCCAAGGTTGGTGGGTGATCCGCTTCCCTCTCCAAGGGACTTCTCTCTCAAAGTCTCTCAAGCTCTCGCAAGAACTTACAATGCAGAAAATTTTATCATTCATTCATTAACCTTCAAAAGAGAACATAAGAGCTATATATAGCATCATACAATGGACGAAAAATAAAAGACGACTTCGCCCTTTGGGCTTACACATGACCACCCTTAAGAGATAAAAAGGGGAAAACAACTAAAGCAAATACAAACAAAAATAAATAAAAATATATACATATGTCGACTTAAAATAAATCGACGCGATCGTGGATGTAGATCGACGGCCACGCCTCTGATAAACTTTCCAAGCTCCAATGTCCCCATCATTCTCCCGGGGTGGGAAAAAGCTTGACTCCATCGAGTAAGCGTCCCGGGTGCTCTCATAGATCTCTAATGCGTTGGGGTCAATCTGCTGTAGCTCATCGCGATCCAACTACGTGTCCTCTGACTCAGGTTTGCCTCTCCACCTGATCAAGTACCTCCGTCGTCCACCTTCTCTTGTGGAGATGATATCATTGTGGGCTCTGAAAATTCCATTTTATATTGTGATCCCGGCCTCTCTGCGCCATCCGTCTATTTTTATTTTGAGTGTTTGTATGACGAAGACAACAAAGAGTTTTAACTAGATTAGGTTCCGGGGGAATTTTCAAAAGGCAGATTGGGTTTTAGATAAGACACTACCCAGAGATTTCGCCCTCATTTGGTGAGGACTGAGTATGTTTTTTGGATCTGAGTTCTGGTTCTATAGGCGCAAGCCCCTATAGTTTAATTACCCCTCCGATAACGAGAGAGAACTTTCGATTAGGCTAGTCGTTAAGAGATGTCGAATAAGTTATAAACCTATTGTATAATAGTCAATATTTTAGGGTTTAAATTTTGATTTGGAATATTGAAGTTAATAATTATATAGTTTATCAGCCAAAAACTTAAAAACTGATGGTGGGGGGAATGAAGACGAGCCGATCAAGATCCCATGGTTTCGTCGTCCCGGGTCTGTCATGATCCCTAGGTCTACTTAGTCAGGAGGAGTAGTCGACCCAACTGACAGAAAGGCACCTTGTCGGCAGCTAGGGTTGCTTCGTCCAAGAATACCGTAGATTGTAGACCTGGGTTGGATGTTTGTCATAGGGGATATATCTGAATCCACTTAGCTGACAGAAGGGGCTTTATGCCTATCGGATATACCCTATGATTCCATACGCTAAGGTTTGACGGCTTTAGGGAACATACGGGGCTTTTGGCCGTGATCGTATATAGTGGTCCATTTTGGCGGCAAAAACCACCCGATCAGCGAGGCGAAACGTGCCACGGTCCCTAGTTTGGCAAGAGACTGTTTGAGGAGAATCGTAGTGATACACCGACAATCAGACATTGCTCTTTGTGAGCTGAGGTTAATTTCAAATTTATCACCTCCGCGATAAACGGTTGTGGGCGGGGTGGATGATGATTTTTTTAGTTTTAAGTTTATTTTTAGATAATTGATTTATTTCAGGATATTATTTGGAAAGATTTATTGGAATTTGAGATTTGAGACTTTGACCCCTCCGGTTGAGATTTCGATCAACAGACTAACACGGCCATCATCCGGGTGAAGTTAAGGTCACTTTTATTTTGTAGGAATTTTGGGATGCATTTTTTATTCAAGTTGATCAACTTCCGTCCTTTCAGGAGGAGGATGAAACTTGACATATTAGAGCCCGGCGCAATTCTCGAATCGTTGGATTTGAGGACTTAAAGTGTGACGATTTGGAGCCAATGCGGGTTATATCACTTTACCCCTGCGCAGCATTCTCAGACATTAGTGTTTAATTCTTAAATGCATTTGTCGGAGCACATGCAGGAATTTTTATTTAAGGGATCATATTTAATAACATAATGGGGGCATTTTAAATATTTAAATATGATCCATTTGAAGTGATTTTCATTATAGAAAATGGCCCAAGATTTCATTAAAGGGCTACGAGCGCCTTCTTCGCTTGCAGAACATGTTGCGGATTCCCCGGTAGGCGTAAGGAGCCTTTCCTAGCTTCATTTTGCATTTAGTTTGTGGTGTTTGTATTAAGGACTCCTCTAAGTGTCAACTTACAAAAGGGACAAAGCTCGGTGAAGGGGTGTTTGGCTTCAATCTCCACTACTATGATCATGCTCGTAGAGGAGAATTATTCTTTCCTTGCTACAATTTACCTAATCTTTTCCTGCATGTAGAGTTGAATTTGTTTCAATAAACTTCATTTTCTTTGACATTTTTTCTTAGATGTTCGATACCGCCGCGGGAAGTGCATTCTTCTTCTACGACATCCTTCGCTCGAGATTTAAATTTTGATTTGAATTGTATATCATCTCGGTGTTCACTATAGGTAATAATGTGGTGTGTATAACAAATCTTCGCAAACCATGTAGGAAGTAAAATCTGCATTTATGAATATTTGCTTGAAGACTCTCTGACATTCCAATGGGAAGCTGCCCATGGTTAT